TCCCCACTGCTCTGGCTGGGGTCAGTTAAACGGCCTCCCTGTCAATCCCACTCCCCGTAATTACACACAAAAGGTGCCTGAGATCCACAGCTAATTTGTGGCCTCTGTTTAGCAGAATTTAATAGCAGGTATTACTGCTGCCGCGGTAATTAAGGACCTTTGTCAATAAGACGGAATGGATGGCCACACTTGGTTGTAATCAGTGGGCTCTTGAGAGCCAGAGGAGTGAAAAGGGAGAGAAGCAATCCATTTTGTGAATAACACGGCCCTTCTCGGCCCTCCCTCCCTCCCAGATCAGGCAATGGAATAATAATTCCCCAGGCAATGAAAGTACAGGAATAAAAGTACTTACCCTCCAGCCGGTGATTTTTTTTTTGACTTTTTATTTACTCTACTGAGCTTTCTTATTTGCTCCAGGCTGCATTTGATGAAGCATTGTTTAAATAGCACAGAGCAAAATGGATGTCAGGAGGTGGGAAAAGGAGGAGGAATTTTAACCAGGTGGTGAGGGAGGTGCCCTGCTTTAAGGTGGACAGCCGTTGGGTTTATCAATTATTTCTCCAGGATACAAAAAAAAAAAAAAAAAAAAGACAAAACCAAGTGGCTTCATGGAGAGGCGGAGGGTGTCATTTAGAGCTGTCTCTGAACATAGTCATTCAGCTCTAAATGGGTCGCCTGTAACAAGCGAGAAGTGAACTTGGGGGAGTATTGTCACCCTCTGCCTCCTCCCTAATGTACCGATGAATGGCCCTGCGGAGGGGGCGGCAGGGGAGGGGAGGAGACAGGGGCTGGCGGCCACAATTCAGAGAGACCTTCAAGGTGTGTGCCCCTCGCCCGTAATTGGAGAGGAAGCTGCCTTTCCCTCGCCTATTCCCTGCCTTTTTACTGGTTTTAACAAGCATGATGCTTTTAATAGTGCTTTGAGTACCATCTCTTTATACGCCTCTCCCTTTTTAAAGCAGCTTTAACTCTACTCTTTCTGTCGCTAATGCCTGAAAAACTTCTACCTTTAATCATTCCCAGATGAGGCGGCAAACAAGCGGCCCCCTTTCCTTTTGCAATTACGGTGGCTGTCGGCAGGGAAGGGGCTGCTGGGTGGGAGGGAGCAGGGGGGCTGCAAGTATGTGGATTGTGGGATGTGCTGCCAGGCCCGGAGAGCTTGGTGACATTACCAGGGGCCTGTTGTTAGGGGAGGGCTGGGGGTCAGTTTTAAACAGCCAAACCTGCAAGGTGGAAGACAAAAATCCTTTAGACTACTATGAACAACACACGTGGCTTTGGTTAATTAAAAAAAATTAAAATCCGCTTTCCAGTGTTCCAGGGTACCCTCAGCGCCTCCCTCTCCAACACACAGTTCCCCTCTTTCCCATTTAGAAGCCAACCCAAGTTGGGCTAAGGGGTGAGGTCCTTCTGGGAGATGAGCTTGAGGGGCTTCACATGCCCCTTCTGGGCTGGGGAGGGATTCAGGGTGGGCTGGCTCCAAGCGCAGGTTCATAAACAGAGATGGAGAAGGAGGGGTCCACCTGTGCCCCACCCCCCTCCGGACAAGCATTCACACAGCTTTTGGGTCCTTCAAAGGGGCGGCAGGGGGCAAGGCCAGGAGCTGCAGGGCTGCTGGGAAGGCTCCCTGGCTCAGTTAAGGAGACTCAGGAGCCCCTGGCCTCACAGCCCAGGACAGGTGGAAGGGGGCCAGGGAGGACCGTAGAAGGACTTATTTCCTCATCCGTCCCATTTTTGACTTCTGAACAGGGTTTCTTCTTTCTGGAACGATGTGTCAAACCAAAGTTGGGGAGATATTCCAGAGGTGAAATCCTTCCCAGAGAGAAACTCTGGGGGAATCGAGGGTGAGGGGTTTTTTCTTTAGAGCTTCGAAACATCCCTTCTCCAAAGGCATCAGCCTGGAAAGCACCCCTTTGGTCCCCTTCTCTAGCGTTAGGGTTCCAGTCCAGACTCTGGAGCAGTTGAGCTCAGCTTGTGAAACCAGTTTCCTTTTCTGTAAAATGTAGGTAAGAATAGCTCCTGCCTTCTCAGGGGGCACTTCCGAGGGTCCGTAAGGTGGTAGTGATGGGACCTCTTACTGCCTAAGGAGCCATCCATTCATATTTGACTTTGTTTTCCTCTGGGATCTAAAGGTCCATTGGATTCCTCTCAATTTTGTGGAGGTTGGGGTGGGGGTTGCAGCCTGGGTCTGGGGTTTGGAACAGCAGGGCCGGGGTGCTGTGGATTTCCATGCTGTGGGTTGTGATGGTGCCAGCATCTTGACACCACCAAGCATCCACGTGCTTAACGATCACTTAGGGAAGTTTTGCTTTGCACAAAATCACAGGGGAGCAGTGAAGGCAGAGGTGGCTGGCCAGAGAAAGAGGAGACATCTCCCCCAGATCTGCCTTCCTCAGGGCCTTGAGAGCAGGCTGAACAGTGCCCCCTAAAGTTACCATGCCCTCATCCCTGGGACCCATGAATGTTACTTTTAAGGCAAAAGGGTCTTTTTTTTTTTTTTTTCTCCAGTTTTATTGAGAAAAAATATTATATAAGCTTAAGTTATACAACATCATGATTTGATAGATGTATATATTGGGCCATGATTGCCATAAATGTAGTCAACATCCATCTCCTCACACAGCTACAAAATTTTTTTCCCTGTGATAAGAACTTTTGAGATCTACTCTTAGCAACTTTCCAATACATGATATTGTCAGCCATAGTCACCATGTTGTACATTATTACATCCCTAGAACTTATAACTGGACGTTTGTACTGTTTGACCACCTTCACCCATTTCTCCCCCCCAAGCCCCCGCCCCCATCCCCTGCTTCTGGCAACCATCCACCTGTTCTCTGTTTCTCTGAGTTTGTTTTTTAAGCGTCCTCATGTAAGTGAGATTGTACAGTATTTGTCTTTCTCTATCTGACTTATCTCACTTAGCATCATGCCCTCGAGGTCCATCCATGTTGGCACAAATGGCAGGATTTCCTTCTTTTTTATGGCGGAATAGTATTCCTTAGTATAAATAGACCATGTTTTCTTTATTCACCCATCCACGGATGGACACCTAGGTTGCTTCTGTGTCTTGGCCATTGTCAATAATACCGTAATGAACATGGAGCTGCAGATGTCTCTTTGGGAGAGTGATTTCATTTTCTTTAGATAGACGCCCAGAAGTGGGATTGCTGGATCATACGGTCGTTTTATTTTTATTTTTTCGAGGAACCTCCATACTCTTTTCCGTAGTTGATGTACCAGTGTACGTCCCCACCAACAGTGCACAGGGATTCCCTTTTCTCCATATCCTCACCAACGTTTACGCTCTCGTCTTTTTGATGCCAGCCACCCTACCAAGTGGGAGGTGAAAAAGGATCTTTCCAGATACAATTAAGTTAAGGACAACGAGATGGGGAGATTATCTTGGATTATCAGGGTGGGCCCTCCATGCACTCACAAGTGTCTTTAGAAGAGGGGCAGAGGAGGATTTGACACAGACAGAAGAGCAGACGGCGGTGTGAAGACAGAGGCAGAGATTGGAGTGGCGTGGCCATAAACCAAGACATGCCAGGGGCCACCAGAAGCTGGCAGTGGCAGGAGACGGACTTCCTAGAGCCTCCAGAGGGAGCACAGCCCTGCTGATGCTCGGCTTTCAGCCTTCTGGCCTAGCGTTCTCTTGGGTAAGCTACCCAGTGTGTGGTCATGTATTACAGCAGACACAGGAAACTAACGCGGACATCTGGTGGGGGGTCCTATTCTGCAGATGAGGTCAGTGAGCACGTGAGGAGCGGGGGGGAAGGTTTGGTGCCAGGAAGGGCAAGGTGAGCCGGGGCTGCAGGTGTGCGACAGGCGTTCCGATACCTGTGGGATTCAGCAGTGGCGTCCCTCGGGGGCCGTGACTGTGGAGCGGGCTGCTCTCCAGCCCTCGGGCAAGGGGGTATCAGGCAGGCAGGCGTAGGTGAGCCTGGAGGGGGCGGTAAGGTGACTCTAGAGCTCTGGAGCAGCACTGTCCAGGCCAGGTTCTTGTTGGCTCAGCCATAGAGCAGGACCAAAGCTGTGAGTGGCAGGTCTTAGATCTGCCTTGGATCTTAGGTCTTCGATCTAGACCTGGGGCAGACAGGGGTGACATGCTCTCACCCCATTTAATGAAAAGAACGTATTAAAAAACAAACACAAACATGTTACTATCTCTTAGTGGGCAATTTTTCTTATGCAGAAGTGGGTATATTTTCTAATGCCGTGTACAGAAATGTTCACATAGGTCTGTTTAGTCCTGTTTCGTCCTGTTTTTATAGGTCTCATTCCTTTGCACAGTACCTTAATACTGTGGAAGAAAGTTTGTGGTTAAGGGGTGGATTGTTTCCACTGGGGCCCTGGCAAGCTCTCCTTTTTCATATTTGGATAGTGATTCTAATTCATGGCGTTGGAGTATAGAGTTCAGAAAGAGGGTTATTTCTTGATTGATTTTTTTTTGTTAATATGTATTGGGCACTCGATATGTGTTATGAGGATGGAATGAGAGGCTGTGGTGTAGGGGAGGCAAGAGACTCGCCCAAGCGGGCCGGTGGTAGTAGCACCAGGCTGTGAAGACGGCCATCCGAAGGCCAAGTTTAGCAATTAAACTCCCACGCTTTTGGAAGCCAAGGACACGAATCATTTCTGGGAGACCTAGTTGTGCAGATGGCACCTGTCCACGGCCCCGCCCTGGGCTGGTCCCTCTTCCCTGCCAGGTTTAGGACGGGCGGGTGCTTGGCACGTGGGTCCTCGAGGAGTGTTTGTTGTTTTCTGTTGAATTATCACTGGCAATTAAAGAGGCCTCCAAGCGTCCTTGCTAAATGGAATGTCTTAGAAAGGCATTTCTAAGTACAAGCAGAAGTCAAGTTGGGCAGAAATGATTTGCAGACATCAGAGGCGTGAAGCATGTTCTTTTTAGCTCCTACAGGAGAATTGTTTATTTGTTCTAGAAACAAAATAATTAAAGGGTGATGTCCATCAAATGGACATTATGGTTGATTGCACTTATGTCAAAATCCCTACAAACCTGAATCTTCATTTTCAGGGTGGAGGATAGGCAAGAGAGATGATGTTCTGCTGTTTTGGGGGGTAGCATTTTCTAGCCAAAACACACCACGCCCCGGCCTCTCCCCCAGGGCTTTTGGCCCACAGCTGGCTTCGAATCCAGGAGAGTCGCTGCTGTCCTACAATTGCAGGCAAGAGGAGCAGGGCCAGCCTGGAAGCCAGAGCCCTCTGCTCTGAGGGCGTATTTTGGTTTTGCGTTCTGCTCAGAGCACCGGATGGGGTGTGTCTGCGTTTGCACGAACTGCAAAGACGAAGCGGGTCTCTGGACGGTGAGCTGTGGTCAAGGCAGCAGGGCTGTGTGATGGAGGCTCAGAGCAGGGAGACCCCAGGGCTGCCGGCCGGCTGAGTCCCGGCTGTGTGACTCAGGGTGAGTGTCTTCACGGTTCTGTGCTGCAGCTTCTACACTGGAAAATGAGAACCATCTATTACAATTACAGGGTTGTTGAGAAAGAGTAACTGGATAACCCAGAAGGGTGGCGGGCGTGCGGTAATGATATCCCCGAGGGGCTGGCCGCTGCTGTTAACTTTGGGGGAAGCCCTGTTCCCGCTACTCGGCAAGGCCCATTATCTGGAGACCATGGAAGGGGTCTTGAGGGATGATTAGGAAGGTTAAACGGGATGCTTTGTAGAAAGCACCTGGCTCATATAACTTCTTAACACACCGTCCCTTCCTTCTATCAAAGCCTCCTAGAACTTAAGGAATTTCGTGTTTTTAGCAAGTTCTTCTTTGGCTCCAAGTGAGACCTTTTAGGCTGCCATTTGAGCCCATTGAGTTTATTTACCAGGTTAGTTCACAGACATTCATCCCCCTGGGGCCTGCTCTGTGCCTACCATGGTTTCAGTTGCTATAGGGTGGGAGGTGAGATGCATCAGACTCTGTCCCTGTCCCCAAGAAATGTCCCCTCAAAGGGTTGCCAGACAAAATTCAGGGTGCCCTGTTAAGTTTGAATTTCAGATACTCAACAAATAAATGTTTTTAGTATGTCTCAAACACCATATGGGATATATACCCATACTAAAAAAAAAAAGTATTTATTGTTTATCTGAATTAAAATTTAACCAGATATCCTGAATTTTTGTTTGCTAAATCTGACAACTCAATAGCTCCCCCTCCATGAAAATGCCAAACTTGGGGTCACTGCCTATCGGTTTGAGGAATCCCTCTGACATTATTGATACCCAGGACCTGACCCTGCTCCACTGTCCCTTCCTTGGTCATGGACTCTGGGCAAGTCCTCCCCTCCCCCAGTCTCTGCCTTGGTTTCCTCTTCCATACTGGATTATCTCTTAGTGGTCCTTTCTGGTTCCCTTTCTTTGACTTTAGAGTTGGCAGAAGACATCGGGCCAGCCTGGCATTTTGGGATTGTGTAGACAAAAAAACCCAGTGGCTTGATTGTATCTTTCATTTATTCAGACTCTTGCTTTGGCTTCATGGAGACACAATCCAAGTGACTCTGACCTGCCCTTTCAGCCCCAATTCTGAGCACTTATAAGGAAAAGTCGCCTTGTAGCACAGCCCGATCCCCCAGCTGGGTCTCTAAAGGGCATGTTGAAGTCCTTTTAATTTCCAATCCATTAAAAAAATAAATCCTTGGAGGGTTTGCTTTCTACATAGCAGCTCGCTTTTTGGCTTGACAGCCGTCAAACTGAAAAACATTCCATGAATTCTCCAAGTAATTTAAAAGTTGCTCGGACTGAAATACGGGGTGATGTCTGCTTAGCTGAAAGGGTGCCATTTGTACCTGAGTAATTTAATTCGCTTGATTCCCCGCCCCGCCCCCCCAGGGAATTACTTCCCTAAGGAGAAGGAGTACATTTTCCTCAGTTATGAAATGGGTGCTCCGATCTAACTAGTGACCATTTCTAATCAGTTCCACCTTTCACTGCCCCCGTGGGAAGAGAGATCCCTTAAACCATTGCTTGTCTTTGGCAATAATTACTTTCGGATGCAAACCAAAAGTCCACTTTGGGGATGCTGTCTTTGGTAATGTATGTGTACACATATAAAATCCTTTTAGGATCTAAGCCTCCCACTCACGTATGAGTTTCCTCCTCTTCAGAGATTAAAACACTGCAGCCACTGTTCGTTTCGAGCAAACACCACAGTGCTGAGAATTCCTGTAATAGCTTTTTGGGGATTTGGAGCCAGGGGTTTTCTTAGTCATCTTGCTAACACCTTAGAAGGTACTTGGTGCCTCCCAAATGCATGCACTGAGTGCTCATGTGCTTAAATGTCTCAAGTTTCTCCTGCTGCCCTAAGTTAAGGCCCTGTTAGCTTTGTTTCCTCTCTTCTCTATCTCTCTCCTCCCTTTCTCCTTTTTCTTTCTCTCGTCTAGTTCTTTCCTGGATTCAAACTTGTTAGTCTCAATAAAAGGGCTTGATGTCTGCCATCAGGAAAGCTTACTTCCATTTTTCCCTCCAGAAAAATGGAACAGGTTTCTTTAACTAGTGCAAGGCTCTCCTCTCTAAAAGGTTTTTATTATTGAGTGCCCGGGGTCCTTAGTTTCAGACATTTATCTTCTAGCTAAGCAGGAACAAAAGAGGGAGGCAGCCTTCTGCACCTTCTGTACCCTGAGTTTTCTGAGTAATCACCCAGCGGTTAAATTGAAGTGGCCACAACATCATCTTCATTGTGTCACTTTGGGCTTGCTCGTTAATTTATGAGCTTCAACTGTCAAAATAGTTTGTGCAACGAACCCTAAAAATGGTGATGAATCATATCAGTCAAATGGGTTTTACAGGCCTGGTTTCCTTCACAGCGGGCCTGCCTGCGTCTACAGCATGTTAGGAGGAAAGCCACATACACAGCGGAGGTGCCCCAGATGAGTGCATAATACAAAAAAATGCACCTCTTCGTGCAGGGCTCTAGGATGCTTAAAGTGCCACCAATGCTCCACTCCCTCGGTCCACAGGGTGACAGCCAGAAGCTCTTAGGCCTGTTGGGAGGGATGTCCTCATGGTGGAGTGCCATGTTAGTTCAAGTGTACTGACTCCCCTTGCTATAACTAGGTGGTGCCAAAATGGCGTCCTTCAGAGCCCTTTGGACAAGCAACGTGGGGATGAGGTATGGAAGACGCGGGGCGAAATTCAGCTCTAATGAGACAGAAATTTTTTCTTTTAATCTTTATGATTATAGAACCTGAGTAGATACTCAGTAATTCATAAAACCTGTTTCCAGATTTGAAGTGCCTTCAGATACTGGCCTACTTTCCTAAAGCAGATTTGTCAGAGGCGGGCCACTTAAAATGTGGGGGTTTCTGTGTTCCTTCTGGATTCTAGGACCTAGCTAGGGCCTCTTTATTAGGGAGATTTTTTTTTTTCACCTTTTAAAAAAATCACAAACACGAGTTCATTAATGAGAAACTTGAAAACATATGGAGAAGAAGGGAGACGAGAAAAACCCTTCCTTTCGATCCAGGGCCAACCTCTGCTAGCGTGAGTTGTATTTTCTGCCTTCTGTGCATGTGATTTTACATATTTGAGACAATCTGTCTCTACCATTTTGTTTCTTTTAAAATAACTCTCCATGCATTTTAATTGTTCTGTGTTCGATCCCATTGTTGGTATATACCCTTGTTTATTTGGTCACTTCTTTTGTGTTGATTGTTTTTCTAGTTTATCACCATTTGTTGTTATCAACAAGAGGCCAGGCTGAGAGGCTTTCTGAAACAGTCCCAAGCTTAATGATCTCCTGAACTGGACACTTCCCTCCAGATGTCTTCTCTCATTCCAAGAGCATCCTGAAGCCCCAGTGCCCTCTGGATATGAACTCTCACCGGGGTGCCCTTTCCTAACCTTCTTTATGCAGCTCATGAACTCCTATTCATCCTTCAAGGCCCGGCTAAAGCAGTCCCCTCCTCTGTAAATCCTGGGTTCTTCCTCTCCATGGAGTTGGCCCCACCCTTCTTTGTGTTGGCCTCCATGTTAGCCCATCAGTGAGGTCACCGAATGGTATTTAGCTGCCTCTCTGGTTTCCCTCTGTCCGTGTCATCTGTTTTGGTGATGCTGGCTACACGCAGCAGCCCAGGACCACCTGGCTTGCACGGACTCTCCGGTTTTCTGAACTATGCCTGGTATGCTCACAGAAAAGCCAGTCATTTAGAAGGTAGAGCTCAGGGGTTTGTAGGACTGGGGTGAAACAACACCAAAAAAAAAAAAAAAAAAAAAAAAAAATCCACAAAAAACCAAAACCCTCCCAAAAAATCCCCCAACCTTTTCAAGCTCCCAGGACTCTTCCTTGATTTCTACTTCGGGTGTGAAGACATTTCCCCAGATGTCCCTGTTGTTGATAGCTGCTGTCAGAGTTCATGATGGCATTTGTACTGAAAACTCCTAATTTGATATTTCTCTAGTGAATTTAATGAATACGAAAAAGTGTCATTTAGACCTAGTTTTCTCTTTGTGCTTTGAAAAATGAAATGCACGTAGTTATCTGTAAATGAGATAATTACCTTCCTACTTTGCTAAAGGCACCTACTAGTGATTTTTTAGCTTGTCTCACTTAATGAAAGCTTTATAAAATGGGGGCCCAGAGCTGTTAACAGGGTTGTTGTAATAGGCTCTGAGAAAGGCAAATAGAAACCAGTTGTTCCAAACCAGTCACAGAAATAGCCTAGTGAATTGGCTGGCAGCTCAGACATAAATTTAAGTCTTGGTTGCGTTTAGAGCAAATGTAATAATAGCTGCAACCAATATTTTTAATATTACTGATCTTTCAGCAATAATTACCTAGAACTTTTAATGTCTGCAATTAGAACGCTAGCAATTCAGTGGTACAGACCAGTGGTAAACTGCACGAAATTGGATACTTGCTGTAATTGGTAATTAATCACTTTTCATTACCAGGAAGGGATGTTGTAGTTACTCTGAATAGATACATCATGCTAATTACAGGCAAACACAAACCTACATATTTGAATGTAGAGCTTTTAGGAAAATAAGCAACTCATGCCAATATTCTATGGCTGAGAGGAGATTAGTCCACCCAATTAAAATGATGAAGAAAGGGCCGTGTCTATTTTGACAAGACCCTTCAACCCCAAAGAGTTCCCCCTTTTCCTAAGGGCCTCGATCGCATTTCCATTCACTTCTGCGGGGTAATTTAAATTCCCGTCCTTTATGCAGATTTCAAAATGGTTCCAAATAAATATTTACATGTGTGTGTCTCCCTGGGTCAGCTGGCAGGGTCATAGAGCTCCATCTCCCGTCTCTGTCTGCCTAAGCGGCGCGGCCACATCCCCTGCCCAGACCTTTCTCTCAAGCCCAGGTCTCTCCCAGGATGTCCACCCACATCACGTCTCTGCTGCCACCTTCATCCCTTCGGTGGGGGCCTGTACTATGAGTGGGTCCATTATTTTGCCGGACTTGAGACTTCAGCAGTTTTTCCGATCTTCCCACCACCTTGCCCCAAACCTCCCTCATCCGTCACGGGGCCCTGTCACTCCTCCCTTCACAGCCTTTCCTGCCTTTGCAGCAACCCCCCAGCCCCCCACCCCCCGCTTCTTCTCACCACAGCTGCTCATCCCGGGGCTCCCTGTTCTCATCACAATTGCATCCCAGGAAAATGCAGCCTGTGGAAAAGGAACTGAGAATGCTCTGTGTTCTCAGCGTTCTTCTTTAGACAGTGAAGAGGGAATGAAGTCTTGACTGCTTGCTTTTGTGAATGTTGTTGTCCTTGATATGCCTACTCTCTCCTAGCCAAAGTTGCCTATGACCTGCCCACAATATCATTCCAAAATTGGGTCATGGTGGAGAAATGGGTCCTATGTAAGTCAATAGGCTACTTAGAGGCAAAGTGGTGTGTGCGGAAGCCAACCCAAGCCACAGGCCCCACCCCTCTCACGTGGACCTCTGTGGCTCTCTGGAGACTCTTACCTCTTCTTTCAGCATCAGGAGACTTTAAAAAGGTGTCTCTGAGCCAAGGCAGTCCCAGTGCTGCTCCAGCTGCCAGATCCCACACACCTGGCACTGTAGGGCTGGCGTTGGGTTGGATGCTGAGAATTCTTTGCCTTTCTCGTGGCAGTAGAAAGACCATTCCTCATGGGCACGTGAACAGAAGGAGGGGAGGTCTGGACTTAGCCTGCCCTTGACCTAAGTGGTGGGCACCTCACCGTTTCTGCCCTGGCGGCCAGTTGCCTTCAGTGACAGGTCCATCCAAGGCACACTGGCACCAGATTTATACACGGATTGAGATTTTAAAAAAATTATGCGTGAAATGAATAGCCATCCTGATAAAGCACCAACTTCTTATTCTATTTCCTCCTCAACATGACCCATGACGTGGAGCTTCTTTAGCCAGATTTCATTTTGTTCCCTATTCCACCATCACCAGCACCCCTGAATTGGTTCCTCACCCAAGAGCGCCATTTCAGCCGTGGTCTCTCTCTTCTGCCTTTGTCACAGAGCTGAGTAATGATGTGACAACATGTGATTGGGTGATTGATGTCAAATGTTAGCAGTAACATTCATTTTCCCCTGAAATGGACAAAGAAGAGTATTAGTCATTTAGAAATTTCGTCTAGAAGCTACACCTCACGAGTGATATTCCAAAATTGAATTGGTCTGAAATTTAAAGTGGCTTTTAAGCTCCTCTCCTCTGATTGCTCCTCAGGTCACGCAGAGTTGTAAAAGGCCGAGGGAGCAAGTTAGCGATGGGAACTGCAAATGTCATTTGTTAGCTCCCTGGCTCCTCTGCAGAACCCCGTTCCTCCAGTGACAGGGGGCTCCTGAGACCTAGTGTCGCATGGACAAAAATCTGTGGGCTTTGGAGATGGGCAGATCTGGGCTCCAGGCTCGCCTCTACCACTTAGTGCTTACTCCATGAGCCTCAGTTTCCTCGTCTGTGAAATGAGGTTGATAATACTGATTATTATCAGCATCATTTGGCAGAAATAAGAAATGAATAAGGTGAATAAGGGGTCCAAGTTAGAGAGGGAGTGTGGGGTAGAGTGCAGCCCTCTCTGGGGCCATTGATTCCCCAGCTCCTGCTCTCGGCTTTGTTCTGCCCTCCAGCCTCCCCAGGAGGGCCCTGGGCTTTTCATACACTCTGCAGCTGGCTGTGGTCCCTCCAGCCAAGACCGACCGATGTGTGTCTGTGCCGGACTCGGGTTCAGAGATAGGGTTCTCCTACTATCCCCCAGAGGTCTTTCCAGTAGAAGCCAGCATGGCTCTGGATCTCTGCAATCAGCATGTTTCAAGACAAAGAAATATGTAGCAGGCTGTGCTAGTTATTTAACATCTGGGAAGGCTCTTGCTCACTCTGAGCCCTCTGTGCGCTCCGAAGGTACTGATCTCAGCGTTAGAAATGGCTTCCACCTACGGCTCTGATTCATGGCCTGGTTAGGATTGTGATTCATAGCCTGCTAAGAAGCCGGTAGCAGGCAGGTATGTTACCTAGAAGCTGTGCCTACGAATAAGACCACCAACGTGATGCGGCCAGATAACGCTGATGAGCTCATTGCCACCTTCAGCTAAAAGGTCCAAACCTCATTTGCAAGTGAATGTTAATAAGGAGGAAAAGCTTGGTGCAGGCTGGACCAGAATTCAATGGCATGACTAGTTCTTCCTCGGTTAAGTAAGATAATTTGTTCAATTTGTTTTATGTCAGTAAGTGAAGAACCCTTTACTCACTTTGATTCATGGAAGGAGGTTAGACAATGGTACAGTAGAAAGGAAATTAACATTTAACCTGCCTGCCTGAGTTTTCTAACGGATGTCTCAATATGACTGTGGTGGTGTGCGTAAATTCTCCTGATAAACAGAATGAAACAGCAGCTATTAAATCCCAAAGAAAACCCGGATGGCAGATCCTGTAATCCAAAGTGAGACCAGTGGATGTTGGATCAGGAACTGAAAGACCCGAATCATCTCGTCAATTACCTGCCCCATGACTTTGAGCTGCCAGCTCCCGCAGCCTCAGTTCTTGCATCAGTAAAATGGTGATGGTGATGCGGACTGCAAAAGGATGCTGTGAATTTATAAAGTACAACAGCCAACCTGTCAATTAATTGATCCAACAACTATGTGTCCGCTAGGTCCCAGGTGTTGTGACCGTTGCCAGAAGCACAGGGGTGAACAGAATTGTCAGGGCCCCTGGCTTAAGGGAGATTACAGTCTGATGAGGGATCCTTTAAAATCTTTTATTATGAAAATGTTTAAACCTTCACAGAAGTGGGCAGAATATTATAATGAACTACCCCTCACTCAGATTCAAGCATTAATGAGATTTTTTTCCCACGTTTGCTTTGCCTCTCCACCACATTTTTTGCTGGATTGTTTTTTTTTTTTTTTAATTTTTAAAATTTTTAAAAAAGATTTTATTTGAGAGAGAGAGAGCATGAGTGGAGGTTGGGGGGGCAGGCAAAGGAAGAGGGAGAAGTCGACTTTTCACCAAGTAGGGAGCCTGATGCGAGGCCGATCCCAGGACCCCGAGATCATGATCTAAGCAGAAGGCAGGTGCTTAACTGACTGAGCCACCCAGGCTCCTCTGCTGGATTGTTTTAAAACAAGTCACAGACATTGTGTTTGTTTTCAGTTGCTGTATAACTAATTACCATAGATGTAGCTGCTGAAACAACACACATTTGTTATGTCACCATTGCTGTGGTTCAGGACCTTGGGCACAATTTAGCTGGATCCTCCGCTCAGGTTTCACAGAGCGGCAGTCCAGATGTTGATCAGGACTGGGGTCTCATCCAAGATCACATGGTTGTTGGCAGAATTCACTTCCTTGTGGTTGTAGGACTGAGGCCCTCGGCTCCTAAGGCCACCCTCTCCATAGGCAGCAGACAGCCTGGCTATTTACTTCTCCTTTGAGGCCAGCAGGGAAATCTCGCTGACATTTTAACCCTCTTCTAGGGGCTCACCTGATTAGGTCGGGCCCACCCAGGGTAATTCCCTTTTTGATTCACTTGAAGTCAGCTGATTAGTAACCTGTCATGGGAATGCTATCCCATCATAGTCACAGGTCTCATCCCCAGTCAGGGGGAGGGGATTATTCAGAGTGGGTACACCAGGGAGTGTGAATCTTGGGAGCCATTGTAGCATTTTGCCTACCATGGACATTTTATTCCTACCATCTTAAATATGCATTTCTACAAATTATGGGCATATTCATGAATAACTACAATTTCATGTTAATATTTGATCGGGATTGTTATGTTAGCTTAGGATATATCAGTCAGCTTAGGATAAGTCGTAACAAATGACCTTCAAATCCCAGGGGCTTCTAACCACAAAGGTTTCTTTTTTGGCTCATGTTCCACACCCCACATGGATTGGCCTCACTCTTTACCCTCAGACCCAGGTTGAAGAAGGAGCCCATTTCTTGGGAAAGAGATGGAGGAAAACGCAAAGGCTCTTCAAGCGTCAGCTGGGGAGTTGCCATGTTGTTGTTTCTTACCTCTTGTTTGTTCATCCTGCTCTCAGGGGCCCGGGAAGCCCAGTCTTTCCTCAGGGAGGGGCCTGATAGAAAGGGTCAGCCTCAGGAGACTGGGTGTATAGCTTTAAGCAAATGATAGAATATTCCAGTTATCTTTTATTCTAGAATACTCTCGTCCACCTACCTTTTTCCGCAAGCCATTGACTTGTTAGAGAAATTGATCAGTTGGTCCATAGAATGTTCTACATTCTGGTTTTGTCTGCCTTCTTGTGATGTCATTTCACTCGTGCCTTTATGCCCTAGATTTCCTGTAAGCTAGGTTTAGCTCTAATTAATTTATTTTGGGTGGTATTTGGTTCTTCATGTTTTATGATGTCAAAAAGCATGTGATATTTGGTGAGAAAATCCTTCAAAAACTTCATATTTTAAAGGTGTGAGATTCTTACTCTTACCTCCTTATATCCATTTATCAGACATTTGTCATTGATTAGGTCCTGTGCCAAGCCTGGAGATATGACAAGGTAAGTAAGAGAAAGTCCCTGTCTCAAGGATCTCGTGGTTCATTTGGAAGGGACAGATTTCAAGTGCAATGAGAGTAATTGTGTAAGAAAAAGAAATAAAAGGTATCCAAATAGGAAAGGAAGGAGTAAAAATAGTCTCTATTTGAAGATGATATAATCTTGTATATAGAGAATGATAAGGAATCCACAAAATTGTCTTTATGTACACCGGCAATGAACAATCCAAAAATGAAATTAAGAAAATAAGTCCATCTACTTATAGCATCAAAAATTATAAAGTTCTCAGGAATAAATTCATCAAAAGAATTGTAAGTCATGTATACTGAAAACTACAAATATCACTGACAGAAATTAAAGAAGACTTAAATAAATGGAAGGACATCTGTGTTCATGGGTCACAAGACTTACTGTTGTTAAAATGGTAATACCCTCTAAATTGACCTATAGATTAAACACAATCTAAATCAAAATCCCAGCTGGCTTTTTTTGTAGAAATTGACACGCTGGTCTGAAAATTCATATGGAATTGCAAGAGATGCAGGATAGCTAAAAAAGTCCTGAAAAAAGAAAAAAAAAATTTAAGGGCTCATACTTCATGACTTCAAAATTTACTCTAAAGCAGTAGTATTCAAGGGAGTAAGGTGCTGACATAATGACAGACATACAGATAAATGAACTAGAATTGAGAATCCAGAAATAAACTCATACAGTCATAGTTAGTTAACTTTTGACAAGAGTGCCAAGACCATTCCATAGGGCAAGAGGTTTTTTTAACAAATGGTGCTGGGACACCTGGATATCTACATGCAAGAGAATAAAGTTGGATTCCTACCTCACACCATATACAAAAGTAACTTAAAATGGATGAAAGGCCTAAATGTAAGAGATAAAACTTATAAAACTCTTAGGAGAAAACATAGGTACAGGTATTTGTGACCTTGGATTAAGCAACGGTTTTTTCCTTTTTTTATAAAAGATTTTATTTGAGAGAGAGAGAGAGAGAAAGAATGAGTTGCGGGAGGGGCAGAGGGAGAAGCAGACTCCCTGCTGAGTGGGGAGCTGGACGTGGGACTTGATCCAAGGCCCCTAGGATCATGACATGAGCCAAAGGCAGATGCTTAACTGACTGAGCCATCCAGGCACCCAAGCAATGGTTTCTTAGATATGAAACCCAAAGCCCTAAGGAATCCAAGAAAAAATTAATTGGACCCCATCAAAATCAGAAACTTTTGTGCTTCAAAGGACCCTATTAAAAAAAGGGAAAAAACAGCCCATAGAATGGGAAAAGATACTTGCAAATTGTATGTCTGATAAGGGCCTAGCGTCAAGAATATATAGAGGAAGAGGACTCCTACAGCTCAGCAACAAAAATCCAAACAACCTGATTAAAAAATGGGTGAAGAACTTGAACAGATATTTCCCCAAAAGGAGATATACATAATGGCCAGCAAGCACATGGGAAGATGTTCAAATGCACTAATCATTAGAGAAATTCAGACCCAAACCACAGTGAGATATCACCTCACCCCCATTAGAATGGCTACTATAAGAAAAACCCGAGAAAACAACAAGTGTTGACAAGGCTATGGACAAACTGGAAGTCATGTACACTGTTGGGTGAGAATATAAGATGATGCGGCTGCTTTGGAAAACAGTGTGACAGTGTCTCAAATGTTAAACGTAGAGCTACTCTATGATCCAGCAATTCCCCCTGAGGTACATACCCAAGAGAACTGAAAGCATACATCCACATAAAAATGTGTTCGTGGGTGGTCATAGCAACATTATTCATAATGGCCAAAAAGTGGAAACAACTCACATATCCATCAACCGACAAATGGATAAGCAAAATATGGTATATCCATACAACGGATGGTTCTTTGGCAATAAGAAGGAATGAGCAACTGCCACACGCTACAACGTGGATGAACCTTGAAAACGTGATGCTAAGTAAAAGAAGTTAGTTACGAAAAGCCACATAGTGTATGATTCCATTTATACGAACTGTCCAGCAAATCCATAAAGATAAGAAAGTAGATTTGCGGTTGCCAGGTGCTGGTGGGAGAAGAGGAGTGGGGGGTGACTGCTAATGGGTGCATTGTTTCTTTTCAGGGTGAGGAAAATCTTTGGGAATTGGTAATAATTTTTATACAACTTTGTGAAAATAGGTGGCTGCCAAGTGACAATTCAATCCACAAGGGACAGGAACTGACTCTGCCTGGAGGTCCGGGGCGGGGTTGGGGGGGGTGGGGGCGGTGTCAAATAGAGGCAACCCTAGAGGAAACCCACCAAAGATGGGGAGGAGTTCAGGGAGCCAGGCAGCAGAGACGGGCTACAGGATCCTGATCAATGAATGTATTCAGTAAGCACTTGGGCTCTGCTAAGTTGCATGATCGGGAGCTGTGGGGGGCCGGAGCTGCATGGTCAGCCCGGAGGCCCCCATTCCCTCTTGAACCAGAGCAACTCTGCAAGCAACTGTGAAACAGGGGGGACCTCTAGATAAGACTGTGGGCACAAGGAATTCTGTGATGGAAAACAACCTGGAGTGAACAATCCTCAGTGTTGTTACTTGCCTCATTAGCATATTAGTGAATCCACATTTAATAATGAGGAAGATGGTGACATTGGCAATGACCATCCTCCACAATTACAGCTGCCATTCAGGGGGCACTGAATCTGTGTCGAGCCCCATTCTAGGCACGTTATAGTCACCATCTCATTTACTTTTCGCACAAACCCTGATGCAGTGAGTGGTCTTATCCTCACTTTGCAGATGGGGAGGCAGGCTCACAGAGCTATCTTGACCTAGTTCGCACAGTTGGGGCGTTGATCTGGGAGGTGAGCTCAGACCTCATTGTCTTCTGCCCTTGCTCTTTGAACAGTGCTTTACAGGATGCAAAGCCCTTCGTAAGCTCTACCTCTGTTGATAGCAGCAGCAGCCCTGTGAAAGAGACCTGCATTGTTATTCCCATTCTACTGTTGATAGGTTGAGGCTCTTCCTTAGTCCAGGCTGCAGAAGACTGAAGTGGAAGGGATGCCCCGGGTGACAGTGAATCTGCCTACCAGCTGCAGAGGGGCCCACCAGAGCATGGAGGTTTGGCCAGTGCTCAGTGTGGTCAGCCCCCCTTGGCCGTCCTTCTCAGTATACATGAGATGCTCAAACTATGATGTTTTATTCTAATGACAAAGGGTATAACAAGCACAGGAAATGGCCTGGCATTAATCTCCACTCCATCTTGTGGCAGTGACTGCAATGAAAATGAGAAATAGTTTAAGCTTAACCCATTCTCATTACAATCATAATTACATTTTGTGGTCATTCTTAGTTTCTAGCAGAACCCAACTGCTCTTCATGTCAATTTGAAAGATACAGACAGCCCTTAATTTTTCTCCAGCATTCATCTGCCCAGCCATCTGCTGAGGACTGATCTTTGGGAAGCTGAAAATTAGGCTTAAGGAACTTATCTGTTTTATGTTTTAAATGGTTTGGCACGGGCCTGCTAAACATCTGGATAAATGCAATTTTCATGCATGTGCCTCGAAAACATTAAACTGGGCAGCTGATTTATCTTTCTAATAATATGTTTAATAGAATACCCAAATTTGGGCTCTGATGATACAGCTGATGACACTGACAGCTAACCAGGAAGCATGCTGGGTGACAGGAAGGGAGGAGCTGGAGACCAAAGGACAGTCTCCCCAGTTCTTAGGCTATCACTGATCCCTGGGGTACTGAGTGGTATGTCCCTACATACATGATGCACCAGTGGTATTCTCTAGAATAACTACACAGTACGCAGGTCTGCGGCATTCTTTTGTGGCTGTTATATAACAAATCCATTTTCCAGTATCTTTCCCGATGGTTCTTTCATTCTTTTTGTGCATATTAATTGAGCACCTGTGATGTGCTAGGTGTTGGCCAGGAGCTGGGACACAAAGACTAGCGAAGCTGAGACCCTGCTTTCAGAGGGCTACTTTCTGGTGGTTAATTGGAGAAGACAACACAGCACAGAAATCTATGTATGGGGTGCAGAGGAGAACCCAACCCCTATCCAGCTCCTGGGGTAGAGGGTGGGTAGGGATGGCTGGGCAGCAGCCCAGCTTGGCCTCAGCTGGTTATGGGACAGTGGATAAATCACCTGGCATCTCTGGGCCTCAGCATTTTTTGTCTTTATAGATTTCTACTTGGGGTGTTGAGACTAAAAGTGGATAATGTGGATGAAATGCTTAGTAGAGGGCCTGGTGTCTACGAAGCACTCACTAAGTAGTGGGTAGGGCTTTACTAGGAGCATCACAGGAAGTACCTTCCAGGGTGAGGGCTTAGCCAGTGCTTAGACCCAGCACTCTGAGAGAACACTTAAGCACAGCTGGGCCCTGGAGAGGGAAGCGGCAGTAGAGTCCGTATCCTGGAGCGTCCTGTGTGCCAGGCTAAGGAAACTGGATGTTGTCCCAAAGCCATGTAGCCGGGGAGACAGGAGAGATGATCAGATTTGCACTTTAAAAACATTATTCTGGCTAGTGAGTGGAGAATAAATCCCCCAAACTGGGAGCAAGACTAGGAGCAGGGAGGTTATGGCAACAATTCCAAAGGAAATCTTGATGATGGTGTGTTTTAATGGATTTCATTGTATCGTGCATGATATTTTGCACAGTTGTGCTTAAGTGAGCTTTTGGAGAATGTGGATTCTTGACTGGATGATTTCAGAATGTTTCCCATCAGAAC